AATGACTATGTGCATGTGTAGCACGGGACATTCCTAGTAATACCTTGTTTAGAAGTGCAGACCTGAGTCTTTTGGCTTATTTCCAAGTGATAAGAAATGAGCTAGACTTTTTACTTCTGTAGCTACCATCTTATTCCTCAACAGTGCTGTTTTAAGTAGCATGTGATAGAAAAAATGTTTGTGCTCCACTGCACAAATTAACCAACAACCACTGTTCCCAGGGCTGTGTTGGCAGCTCTGTTGAAATCATCAATAGTGCTGCTAAGCAAGAGAGGAAGCTACCAACAAAAAAAGCATGTTCAGTTCAACTCGACTGAAAGTGTAAAGGAAGGGGAAACTACTACAAACTTTAAAAAGACTTTCTGAGGAGATAAACTATATTTTATTAGGTTATCTCATATGAAGACTTGAGAGCACCAACAAATAATAATTATTAAACCCACTAAATGTTAATAAATTATTTATAAATTAACAATAAGAAACTTATAAATTATTGTAAAATAATATTACTTTCCTTCATTGCATTTTATGGAAACAAACCACAGAAAGATAAAATAGCCAATATTGTGCTATAAAATGAAACGTTTTAAAACTTTTCCTATCTGATTAAATTTGAGTGAATAGAAGGATAACTGATTTTCTAAAACTTGTAAAAATCACAAGACTAATAACAAAATGCACTACTGGAAGTAATGTCCTTATACATTAAAGTCTTAGAAATGTTTTATGAGCATAAGATACCTCACTTTGATGCAGCTAAACAGCCTGATACAAGCATTGCAAGATGCTGTTCAACATCGGGGTATAAACTATAGCACGTAACTATTGGAGAAATATAACTTATAGAGGGTATTACAAATAATGGCATAACATGGATCTACTAGTGCATAGACACAATAGTGCTTAAAAACTGTGTTTTCCTGTTTTAAATATTCATCTAACATGCAAATATCAGAAGTTACGACATCTTATTTCTAGAAGCCCCTAGATTTGTTTTTATATTTGACCCTGTTCTCAGATTTTGTAGATGCCCATATTCTGTTACAGTAATGTTATAGAGACTGCCAGAGACTATCATGTCTTGTGTACTAGGCATTTGGTGTATCTACAGTAAGAGTCTATACCTGCTTTGATGTGGCCAGTTTAAGATCTGAGTCAATGAAGTCTTGCAAATACAGTAATCTTTACGTGTTGTTAATACTTGTATGGACTTTTCTCACAAAGCAGCAGGAAAACCCCTACCTCTTCTCCCACTGTTTCCTTCCTGTTTCCGCAGGTGTCAGGCTTCGATCTTGTATTTGCTCACGGTGCAGATAACTCGTTTTTCCACATAGACTAGCCTCTGGTTATAGGATATATGTACTGCATATTGCCTCTCATTCGGTATCAATATGCTTACCTCATAGGTAGAAGACTACTTTATTGTCTGTGGCTTTTCAGCATTCTAGAGACAATGATGACCATAAAATCTTCCTAAAACTGAAACAGTGCTTATTTAGAGAACAGAAGCAAGGCATTGATTGAACAGAATTTTAAGACAAGCCACACTCCTGTGGGCACTCCTGTAGGTATTCTCGAGCCAGGTCTCCAGGAGCTGCGTTATATACATCTCTATTGCTTATTTTTCTTTTGCTTAGTCCCTGCTTTTCAGGGAATAGTTTGCTGGGCTCCTTGCATTGGCTTTGTCCTATTGTATGCCTTGAGATTTTGTTGGCAAAAGTTTTATCTCAGCTACTATTTCTTGCTTCCTTTCTTTTTTAAGGAAAAATCAATTTATTAAATCAGTAACTAACCAAGGATTTATAACATCAAGTGAAGCTGTTCCTTTTGCAAGTACTACACCTAATTTTAAATAGATGGATAGTGCCAGTTGTTGGACCTGCTTGCATAAGTTTGTCTTGAATCTGCAGGTGTTTACACAAGTAGAATAGAGATAATAACTTCTTTTCACTTAGATTTTAGAAGCAGTGAACTTTGGATCAGACAGATAACATGAAATAGCCAATGTCAAACATGAAGTCTGTGCAGGCAGGTACTGAATAGGATCTGCTAAGATCTGGAGAGAGAGGCAAAGGCAGTATTATGTTTTCTTGAAAGTGTGATTTTGATAGTCTTGAAACAACTGTGAACTAGACATAGACTTGCTAAGTGATCTTGGCAGTGGGCAATAAAATTCTTGGTCAGCAAACTGAAGTCGTGATCTTGCTTTTAGCCAGCAGCCTGTGGTTAAAGCATTCACAGAAGTATGTTGGATTACCAGGCTTAATCCCTTGTCTTGCTTGAGAGGATTTGTACCCATGCTTCCAACTCTCAAGAGATTTCCCTGGCTGCCACAAAATAAGAGGAGAGAGATGCACAATGCTTAATTTCTCCTCCTGGTGCCATTCCACTTTGTATAATTAATTCAGCATTCACTGAGACAGGGACCAGAATGCAGCTGACCCATCATTTAAATACTGCCCTAATTACCAGACTAGAGAGTCTCCCCCCACCCTTTTTTTCTCTCCTCATCTGTCTCAGATGCTGTCTGATCTGGAATACAGCAGTGTTCGCAGGAGGAAATAAAAAAGTACTGCAGAATAGCCATATCACATGGCTAGGGTGTCTGGGTAGAGTGATAGCTTTGGATTTTTCCTGGGCTAATAACATCAAGTGGGATTGCAGTTTCTTTGCATGAAGTCATGGTAACATGAAAGACATCAGATCTCTATCTCACCTTTTTCGTATGTCCAATCCCACTGAAATCTTAAAACTAACTGGATTGTTAAGTGCTGTGCTAACAGCACCAACAGAAAATGGTTTTGTGAGAACTGAGTTTTGATATGCATATCTGTTGAATCAAATGTTCATAACACTGGTAGTATTCATAACATTGGTAGTATTGAACTCACCTTCTTGCCTTGCAGTAAATTGTTTTAGAATTTTTATTTTGCAGTCGACATCCACCTGACAGCAGTACTAATTTTCCTTTCGCTCAAAACTATTACAAATGCTAGATAATAATTTTAAATAAGACTTGCTCAAAATTAATAACACAGCTCAATGCTTAGTCATCTGAGGAGTTGCATGGAAGTTGACGGCATAAAGATCCACATTTAGAAAAAAACCAAACAAACCTTAGATGCTTGAAATGAAATTTAATCAAAACTTAAATCTGAGTCCACAGTTGAGATCCTGAAAATCCCTATTCACCTGTCACTTCAGTATCAGCTATGCTTTATATATAGATTAATATATAGCTTGAATGTATTTAAGAGAAAGAGCTGTTGAGTTCAGTGAATGGTTTTGTCAGTCCATTAATGTGTTCTTCAGTGTGAAAATGTAACTACAGAACAAAAGATAGCTTCTTGCTCAGCGTATCTGCTCTTTGCCCAAATTCACAGTCTTTATCCTTCAGAAGAGACAGTAAGACTATACTAGAATTATGCTGGTTTTATTCCTAGAAAGGAAACATGAGGATACTATGTACTGGATGCTGTTACGACTTTTGCAGTCAGCATAACTTACGCAACAAAAGTCAGGATACCCGCCCGCATGCAGCTCCACTCTCTGAAGGCTTTGCGCTGAACTGCCTACAGTGGTTAAAGCATTCATAGGGTATGGGCAGGCTCCGCTTAAGAATTTAATTTGAGGCTAATGTGGTTGCTAGCAAATGAAAACTTTTCCAGAAGTTTCTTTATTACTAATGGTACATATGAGTCATGAAGAACACGGAGTGACTTTGACATCACTGGGAGAGTTTACGGGCTAATAACTGAAAACACTGTTCTCACTTGCAAACTAAAATAATGAAAATTATTTTGACGGCCTGAAAAAAAATGTCATTTTTACAAAGATGCTTTCGGAAGAGATCCACATCCTGAGAATGACTCAGCAAAGGTTGTATCGTGCAGATGGCAGAAGCAATGATAAGTAGCCCACAGCTGAGGCTTTTCATTATTATTCTTGCTACTGTTATTGTGAAGCAGGAAATTTCATACCCCTTTACCTAAGCAGATAATAAAAGTTGCCCTTATTATCGGGGGGGGGAAAAAGAAAAAAAAGTTGTACCTAACTGCTTGCCTAAAGACGTGTTTACCTTGGTCTCATCAATCAAAATTTAAGTGGTTACTGGGTTGAAACCAGTGTCGGTAAAGTAGACAACTTTTCTGCAGCTTATGCACGGTGAAGGCTTTAAAGTGAGGAAATGGGGCCTTTTTGACATATTTTATCTCAATGTAAAAACAGATTTTGGTATTATTACTAAAGCATAATGGATAGAAATGTGGTCTTTGAGACTTTCTGTTCAATGAGCACTTAAAATAGAAATAAACTAATATAAAAGTATTAAAAGTATTATTGACATATTTAGTATGTCAAATTGTATACATAAAAGACACAGCTACAACTATTTCAAGAAGCCCATGTTGCTAGCTCTTATATTTGGAGAGAAATAATCTCCTAATCCTTGTTTCAAAGAGATGGCAAGTGAGAGTGACCAGAGCGGTAAGTGGCGGCATGCATTTTTTATCAGGAGGTCTCTGAATAATTGATTGTGCCACATACACATGCATAATGTAATTTGGATCTGCTAAATGCAGTCCACAGAAAACACTGAAAATTATAGCTGGGGGAAAAAATCAAAAAAGTGAAGATATGGCACAAAATTAAGTTTTAATTTCTTTTTTAAAAAAAATTCCTTCTGGAAAAGGAAAAAAAAAATTCCTCTGGAAAGGAAAGCAGTTGCATCAGAACAGCAATGTGGGATTCCTTGTTTATCTATTAATCCAGATAAAATTTGGTCAGTTAATAAATACATGAGTGTTTGGTTTTGGTTTTTCTTAATGTTGTGTTACCCTTACAAACTTACCCTGGAAGCTAAAATTAAACACAGTGTAGCTTGAAGTGGCAACTTGTAGAGATTCAAGCCGTAGGCTTGAGAGATAGTGTTTTCAAAACTCTTTTAAAACAAAGATTACCATTTTGTTGTGCGTAACTTTTCTTCTTCTTTTTTATTGAAGATGGGACGTGGAACACCGAACCTCAGAAGATAGTTAAACTGGGGGTTCTGCCTGTTAGAAGTCTGCTTGTGATGGAGGAGACCATTTGGGCTGCATGTGGTGGACAAATTTTTATAATCAGCACGGTGACACATTCCATAGAGGTAAACGCTTTTAAAAGCATTGCTTACATACTGTGCTACAGGGTATAAGTGGTGAAATTTTAAACATTAAAATCTGTTTAAGAAGCTTCACAAGTCAGGAAGCTTTTCATGAAATATGGATTCAGTTCTGTTAAATCCCGCGCCCTGCCGTTTGAAATTCTGCCATGAAGTTCTCTGCTGATATCTCATTAGACCTAGGCTTGCCTCAGTTTTTCCCCAGGTTTCCATAAGGTGCTTGGAACTTGTAGAGTATTTGGGGCAAGAGGTTTGCTTAAAACTGAGATCTGAGGAAAGGCAGCAAAGAAGTAGGTGCCTATAGGAATTGCCTGTTAATTCCAGAAGAAGGTTCAATTAAGAGACTGCCTCTACACAGTTGGATGGTACTTGTACCTTGTGATGATTTCATAATATATTTCTTCAGAGTTTTGCTTCTCAGTGGTCCAGAAAAATTTGCTCTGTGTAAGGACGTTTTCCAATGAATAATCATACAAAAGTTAGCTTTTCTGAGAGGAGAGTGTTAAGGATTCAAACTCTCGTTTGTCCACATATTCCAGAAAGCGCTAAGCCCTCGTTTCTGTCAAAATTGCAGCCTCCACCAAAAGAATGTCTTAGTGGTCTGAAGTTTAAAGTTGATGAAACATTAGGAATTAAGCCTCGCCTTCCACATACAATAGTTACACTGAGTTGCATGATGTTTACAGCCATGAAGTTCTTTCAGACAGGAGTTGTGATGAGCTCACAGCCTCCTTCTTTGTGTGCTTTGTTGCTGCTTTTTTGTTTCATTGATGATCGTGTTTTCTCCCAACAATTGTCTATTTGGTACAGTTGATTCTGTGAGTCATTGTCATGGGTTTGCAGGGAAATAACTGATGTCCTCATTTCCTCTGTCGTTATCTGTGCTTTCTGGGTGATCTGTTTTGTCCTACTTGGACAAAAGATACTGGGATCATATATTTTCCTACTTACTTTAAGGCTTGTTTTGTTGATGGTTTGAATGGTATGACGAGAGAAAGATTTTGGAAGAGTGATTTGGATAGGTGCTTGTAATGGTCTTTTGTAGGTGTCATTGGCAGGGGCAGGGTAGGCTCTGGGACACCTGGTTACTGTCCTACAGACTTTGATGCTGAATCTCTCTGACTCTCACCAAGAAATACACAGCAACGGTAAGAGATCACAGCCAGATTGGTCCTGTGTGAGGTTGGTTATGTACAGCCAGATCTCTGTAAATAAGTTTGTCAATTCTGGCCTAATTCTGTCACAAAGCTCTTCCTGGATCAGGTGATATGGCTGCAGTTTGGGCTATGCTGGGCTGTTTTGGCACAGGAGAACTAAACCAGAGTTAGACAAGCTTTGAGGATTAAAGAATGTATAAAGCTTACTCTATCAAAATACGGTGTAGCATAATGGGTTGCAGTATTGAAGACAGAAGTGCAGAGAGATAAAATAAGAAATATTCTATCAATATCTCTCAGACATGGTAGTTTCATTTTTCAGCTGTTACTACAAGTTTTCCTACAAAGCATCACAGGAGGTTTCTTTTCATGTCCAGAATGCTTTGTAAACTAACCATCCATTTCATTCCGAGCTCAGATTATTATAGAGCCACTGACTTTTATAGCTATAATTCATATACAGGCAATGAATGCTGCAGCAAGCAACATATAAGAAATGGTGCAACTGGAAATGCTGCATATGACTGAACAATGTTTTCTCGACACAGATAACTTTATTTAATAATGTGATGGTTTTTTTGTATGACTGGCTGAGGGTCATCTTTTTTTATTCCACACAAATATCCATACCATAGCATGTCATCTTCCTCAGAATTGTGAACAAATGATGATCTTCTGTTGCCTCTTTAGTGGTCCTAAGACATACGCAAGTACTGATCTTGTTTTCATCATCTCACCAGACTAATCAGCTCACTAATGTTTTCGCTATTGCTCCCTGCTCAGTTGCCTGACTTGTTTTGATAACTTCCTGGTTATTTGTATTTCCAAAAGTGATCTGCTATGATGTGCATACCATGTTCATTGGCAATATTGTTTTAATTTTATATTATACATGAGGCAATTTAGACTCTGTCTCTAGGGAATATGTTAATAATATCAGCAGCTGAATATATCGAAGCTACCTCTTCCTCACCGTGCAGAGCAGAAGCTTTGCTCTATGAAGGGAAACAGCAGCAAGGAAATGTTTGTTCTCCACCTGTGCCATGTCTTGTTGGGAGTTAGTTGTAATGATTTGACTCAAGATTTTTTGCATAATAGTCATCTTTGCTCTATCAACAGGAATCCAGGTGTTGCACAGGGCTCAACTCTTTGCTGAACTCCTTTATATTGCCACGTACTTCAAATTATAGCTGCTTGTTTATTCATTGCTTTCTACTATCATGCATACATATTATATGCTCTGTCATATACATTATCTATAAAGGCACCTGACTAGTTTTTTAAGGCCATATTTGTGCAAGTCCATGAGCATATTCAAGACCATTTTGTAAACTTTGTTCTTGTGAGGCACTCCCTGCTTCATAGGTACCTTATATTTAACTGTCTGTGCATTTGCTAAGTGCAAAGTACATTATTCTTGAAAACAATCTCATTTCATGCGTCTGCTTTTCTAACATTCTTAATTAACCTTTTTTTAATAACCATCAGTAAATGAGCAGGTTTGGCATCCTGTATATTGGGTTTGGACGTAATTCACTTTTCCTGCTTTTTTTTTTCCCCACTGATATGGATAAGACTCTCAATTCACTTGTTTTAATGATATGTTACTGTAATAGAATGTTTCAGGAAATGTCTTTATTGGCACAGTGCCTCAAACTGGCACAGTGCCTCAAGCTCCTTGGCAAAGGACATGTGAGAAACGCATTGATTGCTGTTATATATTAATTGTATACACTGGTACTCTTTCCGTGAAGAAATTTGTCCTTAGTCTTGACCCTAGATCTGACAGCTGTATTCCTGTTGGGTGTAGTCCTTGATCCCATAGTGGTCCCTGTGCCTTTAGACCCTTATGCTCTGCAAAGGCAGTATGCGTTTGTTTAAAAACAAGAAGGAATGCCAGACTATCTAAGGGAATAAAGTCACCAATTGAATGGCATTCCATCCTGGTTTGTTTTGTCTTGTTTTTAAAACTTGGCTAACTATACATAGTTACACTAAAATGTTCAGCTGAATAAACAAAACAAATGAAAATCCTTATGCATGAGTGTATGTTGCCTGAGTACTGTAACTTCTTTAAAGTAGTAAAAGTCATTTGTTTTACCTTGTGGACAATGATACCCATTATGCATCTCTCATGAAGCTTGAGAAATCGTGGTTCGGTTCTTGGCACGGATGTTTGGTGCAAGTGAGCACCCCCTCAAAAGAAAGACTCTAGCTATGCCCTGCGCTGCTGAAACAACAGTGAGCGATGTCGGGCTGGGGCTGCGGCATCCAGAACGTCTTCTGCCGCTCTCGTGTTGCTATAGAGTTTGAACAAGAGAGCCTGAGGGGAAAAAAGCTGGGCTCTGAATAGAGAGGAATGTAGGTATGAAAACTGAAAGAGAAAAGTAATATGAAGTTCAGGTTTTTTTGATAACAAAGGGACTAAGATGTTTTTGTCCCTTTGTATCTGTATTTCTTGTTATGAGAAGAAAAAAACTAATTGAAGAAAAAGGCCAGCTACTGGTTTTCAGATAGACATGTAATTTAAACAGATGTCAGAGCTATCCTCTATACAAAAACTTACGCATTTGTAAAAGAACATACAGGTTTGGGGTATGTTCCTGCTCCATGTTAGAAGACCCTTAGAGTGAGAAGAATAGTTCTTTTTACATGCTTCTTGTGGCGTTGACAGTGTTACAGTTTTTCTTTAAATGTGTGTACGTGTTTCAGCAGACAGCTGTACAGACTAAGTACAGGACAGACTAAGTGGGAGTATAAGTGGGCTGGTAAAAATGGAATGTGACAAAAATGTATGTGCAAGTTGTTTATGGTGGCACCAGCAGAAATGTCAGCTGCGGTCAGACCACTCCAGAGAAAATTCATTTCTTACGATCTGTTTCATTTTTCTTCTAATTTCAAACATTGTAAGTTGCTGGTCGGGTTCACTTCAGCGCCCTTGGATCTGTCCCTGAGAAGTTTTCCAAAGTCAGTTGGTCATCAGTGGTAGGGCTGTATGAGTCTGTAAAAGAAGCTACTGTTTTAAAATCCTTTTTGCAATGAAACGTTCATGATGAGAATATCAGGAAATGTAGTCATAAGAGCTGTTTCTGGCTTTGAAAGATGTTGTACGTGGATGAATTCTGTTGAATAAATCGTATGATTTTCAAATTGTGTATATCATTTGGTAAAGAATGAATGGAGGTTACCTGAGGAAAACAGTGAATATAAATGTGCCTGCTAGAGGGGCTTCCCTGCATTCTGCAGTGTTGTTATGCAGAGAGTCAAAAGGTAACTGACACTCAAAAACTGAACCACTGCCTGATAGCTGAAGAGAAGCTTCTCTGTTCATTTACTAAAAACTGAGCATTTGAAGGATAGTGTTAGAAATGAAAAGGAAAAAAAGAATCATTCCCCTATTTTTAAACAGCAAATTTCTCAATGGAAAGTGCTAATTTATGGAGTAATAAAGTAAGAAAAGAAAATTAAGTGCTTATTAAGTATAATATCAAAACTTACACTCTGTGAAATCTTAAGCTTCTATTCTTTGTCTCTGATCGTAGCCTGTTTGTTAAATTTAGATGGAGAATTTGAACTATATATCTATAAACCTAATATATTCAAAACATAACTGTCTTAGGCTAAGAGCTTATCCTGAGAAGCATGTAATTTAGATTTTGATGCAAAATGACCAAAATATAACACTTAATTGTAATATGTGGAAAATTTAAGTGTACTTTTACTAGGAGGAAGGGGGTACTTTTGCATTTTATCTGCAAATATAATTAAGCATATATAATATATAGTGTGAGTATTAGAGCAGATATTTACTTCCGTATCCCTGAGAGAGAGATTTGTATCCAAGGAATAGTTTGTCATTTATTTAGCCAAGGAAGTTTTATGGCTATCAGAATAGGTCTCTGTATTTGGTAGTAGCTGGCACAATATTAAAAGGCTGTGTTTAACTTCAGAGACAGTTTACTTACAAGACAAGACTGGAAAAAAAATATCCCTACTTCTTGTTAATGATTAAAGAACTTTACTACAGCTTTATCTTGCACGTTAACAGGGGCATGTAGAGAGGTTTCGGCCTTCCTGGGGCCGTGCAGGAGTTGTAACTGTGAAGGCACTAGATCAAGGAAAAAGTCTGTCCTCAAAGTCTTGTATTACTTATCTTCAGAAGGAGGATGTTGGCCTTTCTAATGAGGAGCATCACTATTTTGAAGGACAGGAAAACAAAATAGCTAATACTTGTGAAATTCAGAAGTGTCTATGAGTCAAAAAGCAAGCCACGGTATTGAGGCTCACATTGTTACGTACGTAGTTGAACAAATACTTATGTATTTATATTCACAAATGCTTTACTTTCTAAAGATGACTTTTTTTTCTATCATTGTTCTGAAAAGACCCCCTAACAGAACAGAAGGAAAATATTTTTTTATTGTTTAAAGAGGAGTTCTGCTGTAGATAAAAGTAACGTATTAGGAAAAAAATCTGCCTGCTCCCAGGAACCTCATCTGTGGTAGTTGTCCCAAAGGAGTATCAATAAAGAAATGCAAAATCCTTTTATATATGAGCTGTTATGGGCTTGCCAGCCCCCACCATGCAATATTTTTAATAACTACAGTATCGAAGTTACGGTGAAGTTGGTCTATCGTTAGGTAGAACTTTGACTCAAGAGCTGGGAATCTTTCCATACTAATGATGATGTATTTTCAAAAAAAAGTAACAGGAAAATTAACACATCATATGCAGCAGTTAGGACATATCCTGAGCAAAGCAGAGGAAGCTAGCTTTGTCCTTGACACAGAGGTCAAAGATACAGTGCCTACACTGAAATGCTGATAAGGAAGGCTGAGTGATGTTGTTCAGTTGCATCTCCCCACAGAGTCCTTGTTTTTCTTACAGAGCCATTTTGAAGCCCATCAAGAGGAAGGGATGGTAATCTCTCACATGGCTGTTGCTGGAGTGGGGATCTGGATTGCCTTCACGTCTGGATCTACACTTCGCCTGTTCCACACTGAGACACTGAAACACCTCCAGGATATTAACATTGCCACACCTGTTCACAATATGTTGCCAGGTAGCTGAATCACATCGTACGATAACATTTTTGTTTTGTCTTTATCACCGTCGTTCTCCGGAGTGTTGTAGATTAGGCCAGAATCAGAAGGTCCGTCTTTGACTTTGAGTCTGATAACTATCTCGTGACTGTTTGCTTTAGTAAATCACAGTCTGTCGCGGGCCTGGAAGAACAGTGTGTGCAGTGAGCTGGGTGAGTAGCAGCTCTCCTCCTTAGAGGTTATAAATGTAATTATATAGATAAGTAGGTGGATTCTTCTGTTTAGTAATTTTTTTTTTTGTGACTGTGAAGCAGTAGGACAATGCAGTCTGCCATGAAAATGTGTTTGCTTTGCAGAGGTTAGCATTTGCTTCTGGAACTTAGTATCAAAGTACATGATGGAGTCAATTTGCCTAGGATCTGGACAAAAAAGCCACTTGCTTAATTTTAGTTACATCAGTAGTCTCAGCGAACCCCGCTGAACCACTTGCACGCTGCCATTTCGGAGCGTGTTTGGTGTTTTGCTGATTGCAGCTTTAATTTGTTGAATTAAAAGGTTAGTCTTGTAAAGTAAAGATGGAACCTGTGGTTGTTAGGACAAAGTTTAACAGATCTTTAAGTGTTTTAAGACGGAAGCTGTTCAGTCATCCCCAAATGATCAGTGTCACAGGCAGTTGAACTGGCCTTTATGAGTTTTGCAAATGAGTGGCAGGACCTTGGCATCAGCAAGCACATCAGGTGGGAGCTGGGGCAGTGCTAGGAGAAGAGACGGACAGAAAAGCACTGGCGTGGCTGAGCACGAGGTGTCCATGAGGGGATAACCATTCTTTCTGTCTCCCCCTGTTCATAGACTTCAAGAGGCCAAGCTTCTGCAGTTTTATGGGCAATGTGTGCACCAGCGTTATCGCTTTGTTTCTAGCAGAAGCTAACTGGCTGCTTCTTCCCACACTGAGATTATGTTTATATTCTTACAAGAGTTAGGTATAAATCTTGCATCAAAAATGTTACACTTCAGTCTCTGTTTTCTTATGTTTTCTTTCAGATGACATTAGCCTTGCAATAAAGCTCTATTTTAAATTGTGTCCATTTATATCATGTTCTAGACAGGGTGTTTTTTGCATGTGGTGTTTGACTGTAGCTCCAACACCAAACAGTAGCAAATCACCTGCCTTTAAATAGGTCATTTGGTTGAATTCATCACAGTTATGCAAAGAAACTAAGACCAGTTATAAAAAGAAGATTAACTTTTAATATGTTGTGCTGTTTATAGCAGGAGGGGAGGGAAGTAGGGCCTCCCTTATACATATTTTCTGCATATAAAAATCTTCACAAATTTAGCTTTAGTGTTCATTGCTATGGTAATAAAACTGCTGATGTAACATACCATTTTTTTTGTAAAAGACTTTTAGCTAATTATATCTCCTTGGTGTCATCCTTACCCATTTTAGTTCCCGTTTTTTGTTTTTTTTTTTCCTCAGTATCTTCACAAAAAGCATGTCAGTGAATGGAAATGGAAGTTTATTTCAGGAGTAGAACATCATTACAGCAAATGTTCCAAGGGAGAATCCATTCTAAAAATGAAATGAATTTCAATTATTTAGCATCAGCTCCTGGGCGTGTTTATATGATGCCAATAATGCTGCAACAACAAAGGCTAAAAGACAGAGGAGTAGGAGGTTTACATAATAAAGCAGCAACAAGGACCTTTTGGAACTAGAAGCAGCCAAAGAATAAATCAAGCTCTCTGTAGTATATACTGAGATTAAAAAAGAAAAAAACAAAGTGAAACAGAAAAGGAGTGAAACAGCTGCATATTTACAAAATATGTATTTGCCTTTACTGAGGATTTTCAGGACTTTTAATTTTAAAGAAAACAGCTCTGTTAGTTTTCTGAAATCCAGCAGGAGTTCCTTAATATGCAAAAATAACGGATAAATAAAAATTCAACTTGTGTTGAAATGAGAGAGAAGAAATGACTGTAAAAATATTGCTAAGAGTCTTAAGAAGAGAGATTAAAAAGGCAAGATCTCGATATCACTTCAAAGAAGCTGAACTTCTTTTGCCAAGATTTTAGTAGGAACAACAACATGTAATATTGGCCTGATAGGCTACCTGGAGATGTCATCTGTGTCTTCATTTAAAGCAATGTAAATGAGAGGAACGTCACTCCATGAAGTTAACAAAATTATTTTGTTGTCATACAGTAGAAGTAAAAGAAAAATCTACTGTCACTGTCAGGAACGGTTACTGTGAGTTACAGTGCTGTATTTAAAGGATAGCTGTAGTAAACTAATTAAGATAGAGGAGTAGCAGGTTCTCATAACCTTCGTAACCACTTCTCATAGCATTAGATTTTCCCGATTTTGTTCTTGGGAGAAAATGGCTTTAAATATCTCTGCCTTCTCTCCTTGTTCTAAAGGATGTGCCTCCTTTGCTTTGAGGAAGACAACCCTGCAGCACAGTGCGCAGGACAGAATCACAGAGCAATGAAGTGTAAGGGAAATGGCGCAGGACGTGATTGTCCTTGCGATTCGGCAAAGTTTAGTAATGTAAAAAAGCAGACTGTCTGGCAGAATCTTTTATCTGCTGGATGTAACTTTTTAAATCTGTGGCAGTCCACTTATGAAGAATGGAGCTGGGAGGGCTCTTGCTTTCTGGAGTTATGGGAAGTTTGTGTGTAGGAATGCAGGACTGGAAATTAAAGTCACATAGGTGACAGAAAATAAAGGTCACAGAGGCAACCATGGGATAGACATTTAGTCCAGAGTCATCCGCAGTACCTTTGCTTCATATATCATCAAAAATACTTCCTAATAATGTATAACAAGCTTGTGTTCTCTAACAAAATGCCAAAAAAGCACAAATGTCATATGAGAAAGGAAGAGAATGGTTGAGGGGAAGAGCATCATCATTGCTGTAAGTCCAGGCGACTATTTATTTCACTGTCTAGTAAACCGCAGTACAGCTGGATTGCTTTTAAATGGCCCAAGCACAGCTCTTTTAGCAGAACAGAGGGCATACTGAGCAGCAGGGAAAAAAAAAAAAAATCTATTAACATTTGACGACAAATACACACACTTCACTAGTGCAATGTACTTCATTTGTAGAGCAAGTTTATGCTTAGCATTTGTGATCTGTAGTTGAAATCTCAACAAAGGCAGCTTTTCACCAATACTGTACGTGAGTAGACAGTCCACTTGTTTTTTCATAGTCACATTCAATATTTCATTATTCAAGAACATCCTTAATCGTGGTTTTCCTTTCAGCTGTAAAAGAGTTTGTCCTTTTAAAGAGATTTCTGTGACCCTGATGCATGTAATTTCATTGCTCCTATGCACGATGACAGGTTATCTGTTTAACAAAGAGGTGATTTCTGCTTAAGTTGCTGTATTCTGTTTATATCCATATATCCTCTAATGGCATGTGTGTTTCCTGGAAACAGATGAGAAAAAGAAAAAAAAAATGTATCATTTCCTCTCTGCAGAAAACAAGCTATGCTTTGAGGCTTACGGCTTTCTTTTGTAGCCACCCCACCAGGTGCCAGACCATAAAATGCAGTTGTTTTATGACTTTACTGCTGGGAAACAGTAAAAAGATTGGGGAAAATTTTAGGTCAGCCCAAAAGATCTGTACAGCGTGCTTATTTTTCGTATCGTAAGAGTAGCGTGGTCATGTAAGAGGATATGCACGAGTATGCCTTTGCACTACCTAGGGTTGACTTCAGAAGATCTATGTGGGAACACATGAGGATTTACCTGGGTCTGGTGGTGGTTGTAATTGAGAACTGAGAAGGGTGAACACAGAGCAGAACACAGGCAATAAAACCATTTGTGCATGTGTAAGCTTAATTGTTGGCTTCAGTTAGTCGTAAAGTCAAGATCTTGGTCAGATTATTTTACAGGTTTTAACAGTTCTGACATTGTATTGGGACAGTGTGATCTAAAAGTTGTCATTTAAAGATAGGAGCATTTGATGGGTTTTGGGATTTATGTTTATCGTTTTCCCTTCTTGTTAATTTCTGTGCTTACTGCATAATGCATTCTGGAGAATTGGTTTTACCTTTTTTTGCTCTGAATTTGAAATATATCAAAATAAAAAGTCACAAAATAACAAAGAAAAGTATGATTTCAAACCTTGTCTAGCAGATAGCAAATTACTATTTTAAGTTAATATTTTAATTTTTTTTTTTAATCTGTATATCATTTTTGAGTTATGTGCTATTTCAAAGTATATTTTCAGATGCAGATGTTTCCTGCTTTTCCAAGATTTCAAAGCAAGTGGTTTTCCTTTTGACCGTCACTATATATAGATGGTTCATGCTTAAGGTTGTGCTTACTGTTTAAGATTCTAAGATGCTGGCTGATAATTTCCTGGTTTCACCTATTGTGGTGGGTTGACCCTGGCTCGACGCCAGGTGCCCACCAAAGCCACTCTATCACTCCCCTCCTCAGCTGGACAGCGGAGACAAAATATAACATAAAGCTCCTGGGTCGAGATAAGGACAGGGAGGGGTCACTCAGCAATTACCATCACAGGCAAAACGGACTCGACTTGGGGAACTTAGTTTAATTTATTGCCAATCAAATCAGAGTAGGGTAATGAGAAATAAAAACCAAATGTTAAAACACCCTCCCCCCACCCCTCCCTTCTTCCCAGGCTCAACTTCACTCCCAGTTTTCTCTGTCTCTTCCCCCCAACAGCACAGGGGGACAGGGAATGGGGTTGCGGTCAGTTCATCACGCGTTGTCTCTGCTGCTCCTTCCTCCTCAGGGGAGGACTCTTCACACTCTTCCCCTGCTCCAGCATGGGGTTCCTCCCGCAAGACAGTCCTCCATGAACTTCTCCAACATGGGTCCTTCCCACAGGCTGCAGTTCTTCATGAACTGCTCCAGCGTGGGTCCCTACCATGGGGTCACAAGTCCTGCCAGCAAACCTGCTCCACCGTTGCTGATGGGCTCGGCCTTGGCCAGCGGCAAGACTCTCTTGGAGCCGGCTGGCATTGGCGCTATCAGATATAGGGGAAGCTTCTAGCAGCTTCTCACAGAAGCCACCCCTGTAGCCCCCCCACTACTGAAACCTTGACATGCAAACCCAATAACACCTATGGTAATAGTAGAATCATAGAATGCTTTTGGGTTGGAAGGGACCTTGAGAGATCATCTAGCCCAACCCCCCTGCAGTGAGCAGGGATGCATATTACTAGTTTTCACTGGTAAAAATTACTGGTTAGAAGTTGCTTCAGGGTTGGAGTATGAAGTCATGCATATTATTTTACATTTTAAATGCTTAAAAAAGCATTAAAGATCTATTGTTTAAAAATTTGAGCATCTTGCTTCTGCAAGGGGTTTGAGAGGCAAAAGTGTACAATTGGAGTTTTTGATAATTTTAAAATTTTAAAAATTGTACTTACATATTTATGGTTTTATTTTGTAAAATAAGCTTTAAGTGAAATGGAGTGAGGTTAAGCTAACGTGCAGTTACCTTGCACTGGCTGTGGCACTGGTTGTGGATGAGGACTCGCATGTCATACATAACTTGAGCAAGCCTGAGCTCTATATCACAGAATTCAAGTACTGATTTTTGAAAACTCCAGTACACAGAGGTGTTCAGGCATCACCGTTTGAACTTCTTTTGTGCTGAAGGACTGCCTTTGTGTGCTTTGTTTTGGAAACTAAATTAATCCCATTAATATCTCAAAAAACCAAACCAAAACAAAAAAACCCACACCTAAACCAAACCAGCCAAACAAAAAACCCATCGAAAAAGCAAACTCCAAGCTTCAAAAGGCTTGTAATTTATCAATAGGCATAGACCATCCATGCTTATCTAGCTGAACAGGGTTGATGCAGTCCTATCAGCATAAACACCTACAGTTTATGGAAAGCAACATACATCTTTCTGAAGGTCTGCATGAGTAGATGAAGCCTCTTCAACTTACTCGTGCTTGTTACACCTGCTGAGGGTGACCTAATTGTCGTGCCTTTAGGGTATTTCAGAATGTGGTTTTGAGTAGACAGCTGGGATTCCAGGTCTGGCCCTGCAGCCTGCGTGTGCCTTTACAACACACCATTACTGGGTTAATACTTCGGTTTTGTAAAGTTCTGTGAGGAAAGACTTGAACTGTGGTCCGCCTCCTGCTTTCTAGTTGAGTGCTTTGGGTTACAGTCAAGCTGCTCCTTCCCTGCTTTCCCAGTGGGTCTGTGATTCATATATTCTTTGATGTAAATTGGCTCAGCTTCAAGGAACAAGATGGAAAATGCATTCATTTGTGATAACACCATAACTAAGGTCCTTTTCCAAAGTGTGGAACATGCGGGTTCATCCAAGTTATATCAGACGTGGAATCCAAATTCCTTACTTACTGATGAAGTGATTAACAACTCAAGAGCTATGATGAAGATGGGAATGACTGCTCTCTTGCATATAAGGTTAATCATAAATCCAAGAACATGTAGGTTTTGAACCTGGAGGATTCCAGCAGAGTTTAAATGCTCCTCCACATAAACTTGGGCCATGGCAGAAGTTTGGGCAGGCAGTAGTTTCCATTTCTGAAACTTGGCAAGGCCATTGTGAAAATCCTTCTAAGCTGAATCAGACATATTTAGTAAGTATTGCAAGCAAAAATTACTTTGTTTTCATTAGAAAAGTAGCAATCCCGTGGATAATATGTTGTAGAAAATCATAGCATCATAGAATAATTTTGATTGGAAATTACTTTGGAGGTCATCTTGTCCATCCTTCTTGAAGCAGGCCTGATTAGACCTGGTTGTTCAAGGACTTGTGCAGCCAAATTTTTATTACCTTTGGATAGGATGGAGATTCCACAACCTCTCTGAGCAACCCATTGCAGTGTTTGACCACCCTTATGATGAAGCAGCTTTCTCCTACTTACAATCCAAATTTCCCCTGTTCCAAATTTGATCCCTTGTGTCTTACTGTGCACATCTGAATAGAGTCTGACTCTATCTTCTCTGCACCCTCCTGTCAGATAGGTGCAGACAGCACTTCTTTTAACCTCTCTTTGTACAGTATGTGCTCCAGTCTCCTGATCATCTCGGTTACCTTCCATTGGACTTGTTCCATTGTAATATGCCAATGCCGTTCTTGTACGGCGGGACCCAAACTCCAACAGGAGAACGCAGCATTTCTGATACAGTTTCACTGAATAAAAACTAGGAGAAAAAAGTAATTGTGAACAGGTTTGAGTCTTGAGTAGAGTGTGTTACGGCTATATGTGACTGAGTATTGTGAAGTGAAATGCCTTTCAGTTTTATTATTGAGAATATATAAACATAGTCTATTTGTAAAAGCATATTTGTAAAGATAATCTATGTCTACTTTTAGATACTGTGGTTTAGAGACTTAGGACAGAATGCTTCAGAAGTTTAATAGTATTTAAATTGTTATGTATGTGAAGTTTAATACCACAATCCAGCAAAATATTTGCCTTTGCGATGAGCGCTTTGCTGAGTGAGATGGTACAGCTGACTGTGTTTGCCTGAAGTTACTTTAATCTAGATAAAAATCATCACTCTTGAGTAACGGAGCACTTCCTAAACTTCACAGGGCAGCAGCGTGTTTCTGTGACCAGCCTCCTCGTGTGCCATGGTTTATTGCTGGTTGGAACAAACCTGGGTATAATAGTAGCATTGCCAGTGCCACGCTTGCAGGGGATTCCCAAAGTAACCGGTGAGTGAAATGTCTCAAAAAGGATCAAGTACAATGGTTTTATACTGAAGATTTCATTTCTCTTCTGTCAGTAGTTTAAGTGAATCTGCCAAATTATATGTATTGTTTAGAGCTTTGTGGTGAAATTATATTTGTTGTTCTTCCTGAGCTTTACAGGATATCCAGATGCTTGTCTAGTTTTGTCTCAGTTGTTTGAGCTGGGACAACTGTTTTTCTTCAGGGCATAGGAATAGGATAGGCATTAATCCTGTCAGAGTATGGTCAAATATATGGGGATGAGAAGAGAATGCAAACATTCTCCCAGGTTTGGGAAAAAAAAGATGCATTATGTTTAGAGACACAGGTACTGAAAATTTAGTATGTTGTCTGACTGGTTATTCAGTAGATTGGTTTTGTGCCCTTTCTCCCCAAAACAGGAGACTTGGAATATATGAGAGTACATGTTTCATTTTTTTGATAATGATCAAGATTTTTGCATTTTAGAGAGATGTATTTATGGAGTTACTTTCATATTACCCCATTTGAAATACAAACGCATGAATGCTGCTGTATCACTTTGCAAATGTTTAAGCTACTAGCAGAAGCAAGATTTTTAAAGTGTGTTTAATAGGGGCTTTGCCATGCTACATTTTGGGTTCAGAATTCTGCTCAAGCTTCTGCGCTGTGGAGGGAAGCTGGCAGATTTTATGAGGCAAGCTGTTTGCAGCTTCCCTCAGGAAAAAAAAAGCTTATGTAACTTTGCAGAATGAAAACATTCAGGAAAATACGCAGCAATAATCTAGTATGATACAGGATAAATGTGTTATGTGTAAAGAAACGCAATACAAGAAAATGCATTGCTGCAGAATCAAAAAATCTCTCATTCTTCCACTTTCTGTTTTGATTATTGTGGTTTATGTCATTTGTATATTCTTGCATTTATTTTGGGTCAAGATTTGTCAGATTTCACAGACCTAGCAACATTACATTTAGAGATCTATTTTTATAGTCTTTGATGCCATATTTGGTATTTGAACTGAAAAATTATTACTTTTTCCAGTTGTGCTTCCAAAAGTGATAATTCATCTTTATATCATTGCACCTTCTGTAAAAGCAGAATATGTTTTGTCAAAACCTGGAATACATTAGGGAGTTAGGGAGGGACAGAGTGGTTTGTAGGGATTGGGGGTTTTCCCTTGATAGCCTAGCTCTTTTCCATATTGTAGCTGATTTTGTAGAATGCTACTTTTCTTTTCGCTGTAAAAGCCACATATACTGATACTGTTGTAGCTTCTGAATTTGGCCTTATGCAATTTGGTTCTCATACTTTCTAATGATTTGCACAGTGTAAATCTTTCTTGTCCCACCAACATCCCACTGTTTAAATACTTTTAAAAAAAGAAAAAAATAATACTTTTTCAGTCAGTTCCTTATGACTCTGCCACAGTAACTAGACAACCGTTCAGAAGGATGAGTTTTAGTTCCTGCTGTATAGTGTGGAGGGGCCTGTTACAATGAAACAGATGTTCTTATGCTGTTCTGGAGAGGTACAGAGGTACAATAGGATTAATTGAAAACCATGTATTTTGTTTGTGGATTACTGGAGAAAACTCGCAGCGTTACATTTGTGTTCGTGCCAACAAAAAGAAGTTAGCAGCATTTCTGTAGTCATGCTGTCATGAGAACAGAGCACAAAAGTCAGTCAACTAAAATTCATAATGCCATGTTTGAGCTGATTTATTAGTACAGTCCTAAAACGCTTCTGGTACAATAGCTTTTTTTTTTTGTACATTCTTTCTGTAAATTGTGTACACACAAAGCAAAAGGCCAATTGGATGTACGTAATAGGTTTTTAAGAGTTATGCTTTTCTGAGCAAATTTCATAAACTAATTATGGTGGAACACTGTGGTAAAATTAAAAAAAAAAAAAAAAAGTTCTTTAATTTTCTTTTTCTTTTGGCTCCAGGAAGAGGAATGGTGTCGTATCATGCACACAATGGCCCAGTCAAGTTTCTTGTAACGGCTACATCTATAAACAAGAAGAACAGAAACAAATTGAGGAACAGCCTGCCTCTTGGCTCAGAACCTAAAGACGACGACCAAAAGAACGTTCTGCACAATGAAAGGCCAGGCTCTTCCCTTAGTAACAGCCACGACACTGCAATTTGGCTGGGGGGTTCGGTAGGATCCATTGCACAAAAAAGTGACTTGTCATCATCTTCTGGATCCCTTACTCTGTCTCACGGATCAAGTTCCCTAGAACACAGGCCAGAGGACAGTAACATTTATGAGCTTTTGAAGGATCAAAATATCTCATGTAAAAGTAAAAGACAGAGATCCAAGAAAATGAAAGCCAGTTCAGTATTAGTTATTTCTGGTGGCCAAGGACACAGAAGAGTGAACAAGAAGACCAAGCAGCAGCGACAAGATGAACTAGTGTCTTCAGTGATGGTCTGGCAAATCCCACTATTAAATATCTAACGGAACTAAATCCAAGATACTTTCTGCTCTTAAAAGAAGTCTTGATACCCTTTTACAGCAAATGCCAGCTTAGGACCCAAATGGATAGACTATATACACTTGGGAGCAACTTCAGTAGGCTTTGATCACAGGATTAAGGGTTGCAAGACAGAGTCTTTACATACTTAGAACATTCTGCAGTGTTAGGGTATTGGAAAACGTTTAGCTGTTGATGCTGTCCCTGATACTTAGAACAAAAAGGATCTGTTAGACACTTTTAAACAGTTTTAGAATCTCACCTTATTTATGTTCACATTTATAAATATCATAATTATGTTCTATAGCACTTAGGGAAGGCAAGGAACACATGCCATGTCTCATGCTGGTTTTTGCATATGTAAATCAGCTGTTGTTTCTTTTTCCAAAGTGACATATTGCATGGACTGTAGATTTTAACAAATTAGCAAATATTTGTAAACAATTCTAATGCAAGCTAGTATTAATTTGGTAATTACTATAATAGTTCATAACGTCATTCCACAAGCCAGAGTTTGGTCTGGACAAAAGCAGTAATGTTAATTGATATTTGTTTATTTCAAACATAGAAAATAGATTTTATTATTATTATTTCTAATGCTCAGTATTATTAAAAATGTTGCAGTACAGCAAGCACATTAATTTTCTTGGTAGGTGCAATGTGTCTGTGACTTGCCTTCGTTATACAGAGAAAGTCCTAAGGATGCTATGGCTTAGGGCAAATAGAAAATACGGATACAGGACAGCTGTGCACTGTAGTGCTGCTAATGCATTCTCCCCCAGCAACTCAGTATCAAACCTAGACATGGACTATGCCATTTTTAAGGAGGCATGCGCATCCAGTAAATTAATAATGAAGTTAATGATTTAATTAATAATTGGTGAGAAATATACTAATATTGGACTATCTATAGGAAGTGCAGGTATTCACTGTGGGAATAGGTCCTCATCAATTGATTTGTGCTGTGTCCTCAGGCAAACACCTATCAAATAACATCACAGCACAGCAGCAGAGATGCAGTCATATCTGAGTGGCGGTCACCTCTCTTCACCCAGAGTTTCAGCAAAGCATGGTCTTGTAAATGGATATCGTGAAAACAGCCTGCACAGCTTCATTCACTCAGTTGGGCAAGTGGTTGCTTTGGTAGTGTTAGAGGGCTGAATTCTAAATAGAGACCTAATCATCGTTTCTTAATGAATCGATGTATTTCCAAAGGAAACTTGGAATTTGGGTTTCCTACTGAAATTGCTATTTGTGCTAGTCTCTGCAGATACGAAATATAAGACAAAGCCTTCAGCTCAGAAAGACAGTGTGAAAAATGGTGATTGAGACATATCCCTCAGTAAAAATGTCTAATACAGATAACATGTTGAATGGAGTCATTGGGAAAATCCTTTTCCCTCATCAATAGACTGAAAGATACAGAGAAATTAGGACGGTTAAGTTTCAGTTGAATATGTTATGAACTGTAATACCATCCGTCAGTTCAGTAAAACGCAAATTAAATACATCTGAAGCAGAACCTTAGTCAGATGTACGTATTGACTAGAATCAAGCAAAACTTTTGGGTACTTTGGTATGGTTATTATCCTAGTAAGCGGGTGATTTGCCCTGAAATTATTACTGCTACTTCTAATGCAAACTCCGCGATTCCACCACGTTTTGTTTCACTCTGCCTAGTTTAAATCAACATCAATGGTAATTACAGTGTTTCCCAGCACATGATGTTTCAAGGTAAACAGTACTAGAGAATGAATTATTTTGCTCAATATAAGATAAAGGGGTTTTTTTCAAAATAGCTGTAGGGGTTTTTTTAAATGTTGCTGAAATTTATTCTCCTTATTTTGCAGCAGATTTGTATATCTCTTAAATGTTCAGTCTGTCTGCTCTAAAAAGCAAACCTCTATCAAGGTGGCCCCAAAATCAGTGGGTGGGCTGACTTACTGAGTTTGACAGCACCGGAGTAACGTCAGGCCTTCCCTGACACGGAGTACACGGGACAGAGGGAATGCCAATGCAGTCGGTCTTTGCCTGCTAGGTGGCACCAAAAGAGGCATTTCAAAAATCAGATATGCACCCCAACTTCTTTTCAGAGGTTTTGCCCGCATCCTGATCAGAACAGGATTCTTGAGCCATAATAGCACGGACTTCAACGAGTCATGGACACTTGTTACAGATGGGATTGTAGGCTTAGGGTTTTCATTATTGTTTTGTGCTTTTATTCTGTGTCTTTCGCTGTGTATCTCGCAACTTTAGTTGGGTATTGTCAGTGTTGGCATGGGCTTAGTGTTGGCATGAGTCCTAGTTAAAAACAAAAAAACAAACAAAAAACCAAAGGCAAAGTGCCTCTAAGCCAGGGAGCTGGTAACATTTTCCCAAACTTTTCCTCTTCTCCCTGGCCTCTACTGCCTGGGCTTGCCTGGCCTGAGGGATCAAGACCAGTTGCATTTTCTACACGATTCCGTAGCTATGGCCCTGGGAGCTGCTCTTTGCCCACTGTGTGGAAGTACTACATTGTACAGTTTAATGTATGTATGTTGAAAAACATGTTAAAAGATTCTTCTATGTATAAAGCATATATAATCAAGTATCCCTTTTTACTGCAGTGTAGCAAAGACCACAGGTTTTATTCCGTGTGCTCCTTGGGCGTGGGATTCCATGTCTGTGCCTTCAGGACTGGAGGGTTATGTCCACTCTTTCATGTGGTGGGTTGACCCTGGCTGGATGCCAAGTGCCCACCAAAGCTGCTCTATCACTCCCCTCCTCAGCTGGACAGGGGAGACAAAATATAACAAAAAGCTCATGGGTCAAGATAAGGACAGGGAGAGGTCACTCGGCAATTACCATCATGGGCAAAAAAGACTCAACTTGGGGAAAATCAGTTTCATGTATTACCAATCAAAACTGAGTAGGGTAATGAGAAATAAAAACCAAATCTTAAAACATTTTTCCCCCACTGCTCCCTGGGGATGGGGACAGGGGGTTGGGGAATGGGAGTTGCGGTCAGTTCATCACACGTCATCTCTGCCACTCCTTCCTCCTCAGGGGAGGACTCCTCACACTCTTCCCCTGCTCCAGCGTGGGGTCCCTCCCATGGGAGACAG